GCTGTCCAGTGTTTCCATGGTAACAATCACTGCTGTCCAGTGTTTCCACGGTAACCTGCTGTCCAGTGTTTCCACGGTAACCTGCTGTCCAGTGTTTCCACTGTAACAATCATTGACACCTGTTTTCCAGTGTATCCAAGGTAACGGTGACCTGCTGTCCAGTGTTTCCCCAGTAACAATCATTGACACCTGCTGTCCAGTGTTTCCATGGTAACCTGCTGTCCAGTGCTTCCCATGGTAACAGTCAGTGACACCTGCTGTCCAGTGTTTCCATTATATGAGTTAGTCCCAGGGCTCTGGTATTGTGGTTTATTCTGGACTTGAATTTAAGGTTTCTGTCAACTGTGGGCTGAAGTTTTACTGTAAATTCAATAATATTGAATTCTTACATTTTCCTCTGCAGTTAAGTTGGTTAGTTTGACTTAGTTAGATCTAAGCTGTAGTCGAAGTCTACTCTGTGGCAGGACATGATTAGGGTTAAAGGGGGAGAGGTATAAAGCATCACACCTGTGGTTCAGCATTTTTTAATCCAACCCGAATTGCCTATAACCTACGTAACATTACTGATGGCCATTTAACAAAGCATACCTTAGACAACCAAGAATAGAAATTGTGTTACAATATTTTTTCTTCGAAGTCTAAAATGTGACAACATAAACTTCTTTGCTTTTCTTAAGCACAGACACACAAAACACTGGAACATCCGACTGTGATGTGTTCAAATGTCAGGACTCCTGCTGTGTGATTGTGTGATTGTGTGACTGTGTGGTTTTGTTTGTTACCTTAGTGTGAGTGAGGTGTGCTCGTTGGGTTTGTCTGTCTGCTTGTTCCCATCCCCCCCTTACCCTCTCTCTTTGTCTCCACTCACCTGCTGGTCACCCACAATCAAGCACACCTGCCTTCAATCTAGCCTACACCTCACCACTATAAGAAGCCTGGCAGACATCCAATCCCTGTTTGATCGTTGCACCACACACAGTATGGTGTGTGCCTTGCTTCAGCTCTTTTGAACTTGTTAGCCATTGTGGTCTTTTGATTTTCAGCCTGCTTGCCAAATTCTCGTATAACGGTTTCTTCTGCCACCAGATTTGCCTGACTACCAGCTCTCCACAACGGTTTTCCTCTACCACCTTCACCCCTGGACTCAAACCCCAGACTTCAGCCAGCCTCCAGATCACCCTTCATCACACCAAAGAAATAAAGACTTTGTGTTCACTACTACCAGTCTCAGTCTGCTTTTGGGCTCAGCCTCAGAATCATGACATGAAATCCTTTTACTTCAATAAAATTACAGACACCAAAGCGGAAAAATAATGATAAGTTAAAGACCGTTCAGATTTAAAAAAAGATAAAGGCAGTAAAATATCCCAAAAAGAAGTGATTTGTGACAAAGATAGTTTTGTTTAATTTCACTTTTATTTTGAAAAATGGTTTGTCAACTTAAGGAACATTTTCATGTTTTGAGGACTGGATGAAGAAGGCAAAAAAAAAAGGAGAATTTAGTGAAGAAAGAAAAAGCAATATGTATATAACCCTAACCCTAACCCTTTTATAATCTGAAAAACAAATATTATTTCTTAAATGAGAACAGCCAGCAATAATCACACAAGTGCAAACAAACAAGCTAACTTCAAACTAAGCACACTGTAAAGCAGCCACACCTGAGGATTCAATACTGAAGGCTTTTAGGCCTGTTTGAGTTTGCAGAGAGTTTAGGACGCCCTCATGTGGTCATATGACGCAGTAAGCAGTGGGTTGACATTACTAGTGTACAATCTGTAAATATTTATCTGCAAGCAGCAAGAAATACAATCGTACACTGCAGACAGCTTAATGATTACCGGACTGATCACTGCGTCACTGAGGGTTGATCTTAAATTTGAATTAGTTATAGTACACTGTTCATTTTTGTTAAAAAGTTTAAAGGTTTAAGTTCAACTATAGATTGTTTTCAGTTTCTCTTGAATTATATAAATGTATAGATGATATGTGTTGAAC